CAGTTTCTTTGAAATACACTTTAATATCCAGTTTATTTGTTTCTGCAATGGAATCTCCCTTAAAGACAGTGGTATCGGTCCGTCCGTACACATTTGGCTGGTGCTCACTCTACAGGCTACAATTCTTTATGGATTCTTTTGATTTTTATTTTGTGGGTCAATGTTATTCTGAAAATGATCCCTTATCGATTTTCGTGATGATCCCATAATTTTTGACTAAAATATCGTTTTAATGATTTGTATTTGCAATCGAAGCTACTATTGGACCTATACCATTTTTCACCATGTGTATTTGCTAATTCCTTTTGACACTCACGTAAATCTAAAAAATATGTCACCGTAAATAATGCACAGCCCGCCCGGGCGAAAAAAGTTGTCAAACCGCAGACACCATAATATTGAGCGGCAATATGGCGTTTCCCACAACATTGATTCTACGTCACTTAGGCCCACAACATTGATTCTACGTCACTTAGGCCTACATGTTCACTTTCCGTGACATTGACTACAGTGGTCCACCATAAAAAAAAAACAGTGACTATTATTGGACCAGTCTTTTCCTGTATTGGACCACCGGCAATAATTCAATTCTAACGTGAACGCAATGAAAAGACGTTTATGTCCACTCTACACCAAATCGGCAGATGCAAGTTCTTTTCTTCTGTGCATCGTGGGAAATTTTGACGAGGCAGCGGCGTTCTGGTTCACTGTTAATCGAATTCCAACTGTCCCGGTATCTTTAACAAGCGGTGCCAATATGCTCGCCGGGACTTGGTTTATCGTATGATACGTAAGATGTCTGTCACTGGCACAGTTGAACCCCATCAAGTCAGTCTGTCCCCTACTTTTACCCTCAGTTTCAGGAGTCTGGCGCTTTCATTGTATCATTGGCGTTCCAGGCATCCAAGCGAAATTAAAGGGTTGGTTGACTCGAGGCAATGAAGATTATTGGGGAAAATATATGAAGCAAGATTCAATTAAAAGACAAATTTAGCGGTCATATAGACTAATAAATGTGTACAAGGTGTTTTGTTTGGTCAAGGTACACCATCTAGCACGACAATTATATCATTCCAATGGAGCCTATACTGTTGTTGTTGCGTCAAGGTTCATTGTTGTCGTGTCGGGACTTGTTGTTGTGAGAGGGATCTCTGTAAAAAAAGAAGAAACATTACAGATTACAGAATTGAAAATGATAAGAAGAAGAACCTTATTAGGCATCCCTGATATTAGGCATTTAGCAACAATAAAAAAATAGGCCGCTAATGCCTACGTATGCCTACAGAGCGATACTGAATCAAAATTAAAGAAATTATGAAAAAATACAAAATGATGACTCTAAACCACAATTCACACTTTATAACAACAAAATTTCCTTTCAGCGAGTTTTTAGATAGCAAATTTAAAGCACTGTAGCAAAGTTATGCCTTAAAATGGACTAAGGTATGAAATGAAGCAAAACTTAGACAACAATGCATCAGTACATTTGGCTGTAAAGAAAAAGTTAACATAAATCCTTTATTTATTCATTTACCTGTACATTCAGTCTGACCACCTTCCCATTCTCCACATTCATTACATACTACACTTCCCATTCCGGTAAATCCCATATTGCAGGTAAAACTATATATATCACCAATACGTCTAGACACGATAACAGAGTTCAGTTGACCATTGACTATTACTGGATTACCTTCACATAATATTTCTGCAAAATAAAATGGAAATATATTGTACAAATAACAAGTGTCCCAAAACATGATATAAAGGTTTATGTCAAACTTTTCTGGTCCAGTTTGAGTTACTGTGTTCAATGGATGAGTGTGGACCCGTAAACTTCAGTGTGTTTGGGCCTCCTCTCCTAGGATTTTTTTTAGAATCGACTTGTCTAGCTTCAATATGTAAATTATATTGTTGTGTTTCAAACATAGGCCTACCAAATAAACATTACTATGGAGAATTTTGTAAACTGCCAAGTTGACGAATCCAGTTAAAATTGATTTAAAATTTTACCTTCACATGTGATAACTGGTAGTAGGGCATTACGCACCCAGATAATTCCCGCCCGGACACTTCCCGCCCAGCCAATTGCCATCAGGACATTTCGCACCAGGACTATTCACATCAGGACAACTTCCACCCGAGACATTTCGCACCCGGGCACTTTGCACCCAGGACAAATTCCAGCTAGGTCAATTTCCCACCGCGACATTTCGCACCCGGGCACTTTGCACCCAGGACAACTTCCACCCGAGACACTGAACACATCCGGATACTTCACACCAGGACGATTCACATCTAGGAAAACTGCCATCCGGAAATTTCGCACCCGGGGGCAGTTCGCACCCAATTTTTGCTCCCATTA